GACCCCGAGCCTGCGGCCCCGGGCTGGGCTGTCCCTGCCTGGCACAGGGCTCAGTCCCCCGAGGTCTGGCCCCGCTCACTCCTCCCTCTTGTCCCTCTCGTCCCCAGCTACGAGGAGAGCTCTACCCCCAAGGAGGTGCCGGGGGCCTCCAAAGAAGAGACGACAGAAGCTGCCAAGAAGAAGAAGTGACCTTGCCCGCGGGCGGTGCCCGGTGCCGCCGGGCTGGGGCCCTTCCAGACCCTCTGCAAGTGACAGACGACGAAACAATTGTGCAAGAGCATCGTGTTGTGTGTGTCGGAGCAGCCGCCCAGGTGGGGTATCGATGTACGCCGCATAGCCACCCCCGCCGGCCCCCCGGGGCCGCGCCGCCTCCCCCCCGCCTCTTTATCTCCTGCGGGGGCGCAAGGCGGGTGGGGGGCAGACCACAGGCCGGTTTTTAAATTTTGTATTGTGCATTTGCTTTCTCTCATATTAAACCATGTCGAAGGAAGGAGTGCTGGTCTGGCCTCGGCCGCTGCTCCGGTTGCAGCTCCCGCTCAGTCGCCTGGCCGGCACCGGGATCAGCGTCCCGGCTCTCCGGCAGCCTTGTTCTCCCTGTGGGGCCCGGGGCTGCTCTCTGGCTGTTTCCAAGTGACCGTCCCCTTCCCCCTCCTGCTCCTCCGGTGCTCAGCCTTCCCCTGGCTGGCCTCAGCCTGGGCCCCTCCTCTGCAAGACCCAGATTTAGGGCTGTGGTTGCTGACCCCCAGCCCGTCCCCAGGTGGGTTTGGGCCAGGGTCTGGCCCTGGAGCAGGGTGGGTGAGCAGGGATCGGGGCACAGGAACCCGGGGGGATGGGGACAAGCTCTGCCTTGGCTGCTGGGGCCTCAGCGAGCTGGGGCTGAGCACCCACGGCCTGGGGGAGCGGGTGTGGGAAGGAAGGAGCTGGGTGAACCCAAACCTGGCCCCTGAGTGGGGTGAAGAGAGCACGGGCTGTCCCCCCTCCCTGCAGGGAGCCAGGCGCCAGCCTGCACCCCTGGGGGCTGGGACAGGCAGGGGGGGCTCCT